TCATTGAATAAGCAGATACTTTTTATTTTTGAAAAAAACATATTTGATACGACTTTTCCTTTTCTAAATATTCTGTGAAAATTGATTCTAATATATATATTATAAAAGAGAAATTAAATTACTTCAAGACTAACTTATTTCTTTCAATAACTATATATAATTGATCTCTGTTGATCAATTACTATTTTAATATATATTAACTCAATAATTTTTTATAAATCAACTATTTGTAGTTATCTAATCTTATAGTCAAATTTTATTCATATTTTTAAAAAAGTATTATATATTAAGTTAAATTTATTTTTTGAATTATCAAATAATTTTAAAATTTTATAAAAATTATAAACTTGATCTATTCAATATATATTTTTTATTTAACATTTAAATTAATGGAATTTAACATCTACATATAGAATTATTCTGCTATTGAATGAAGTAATTAACTTTTATAGGAGTTACTGTCAGAGTAACTTAATCTCCCCTCCCCTCTCTCTCTATATAATAAAATTTTCTTTTATCTTATCCCTTCACTTATTAGCATATTAATTTGAGTTTGTGGGGACGATGCCTTAATACACAGTATGCCTTTTTTGGGTGTACAATAAAAGACACTAATATAAGGTTTAGTGGTTCAGCCTGAAAGATATGTGATGATAAAAGAATCGGTATATGGGTTTTCTTTGACAATACAAAAATATTTTGATGTGAATCTATATATAATCTAATTACAGGCGAAAATTAACCCTGATGTAATAAAATTAATGTGGTATATCAAAACAAAAATTGGATGGAGATGTAATGCAAGCTACACAGAAATAGAAACAAATCATATTTGCCCTCAGTCACCCATTCTTCTCATTAATTTGGTTCACTCAGTCCTCTACCTCTCATTATTAAAATATCTTAAGCTGTTACTTTTCTGGCCCACCATAAAAAATCCAGCATTGATCTACAGTTTTACGGGCAATTAAATATCATCAGTAATATTTCCTTTAATAAGTTCTTGCTTCCACTTTGAGACTACCTATCATGATAATTTTCCTTCAATATATGACTTGTCAAAAATTAAAAATGTAGTCATGATGATGTGGTTTTCGGTTGGTAGATGATATGGTTTTAAAAGGCTTAATTTGGAGCACCAAGTGTTAGAGTTAAGCAACTGCCTTCTAGTAAAATCTCTAGCTCTTGGGGAAGGTTTCAAATTCAATTGTATAATTAATGAGACAAGATATGCAACATGCTCTACCATGATGTAGATTGTTGGCCGACAATGCTACTGTGTGCAAGATTCTTTTTATTATTATTATTATTATTATTATTATTATTATTGGAGAATATGAATAAAAACCTCGAAGCTTAACTAGCGAGAAGTTTTTATGAGGTTTCTGTGTTAGGATACACACTTCAATTATCCTTGTTATAACGGGTCGGGTCTTGGGTCTCGGTCTTCTCGTTCCTATATGGGTAGTCCGATGTGAGGGGGGTGTGCCTGCAAAGACACTCCAATGCTCAAGTAAGTGCTCGGGGTAATAAATGCAGTAGTTGAAAATTAGTTACGTACCTCGAAGGGGGTCTATTTATAGTGTTCCTTATTGGGCCGTGATTAGGAGCTGGGCCCCGAAAAATTAGGGGGTTAATCCGGCTCATTATTTAAATTAAACTGTCGTAATCGTATTAGGAGTTCCGTGAATGGGTCGAGTAGGCCGATCCCTACTATTTTGTGAGGGATCGGTATGCTCGGGTGGTCGGCACAATAAATATTAGTTTAGGGCATCGGTCGATTCAGTCGGGTCGGTTCAAACCATTGATTCGGCTGGGTCGGGCTCGGACCCGTACGGTATAGTTTGTTTACTGAGAAGGCCAATGCAGAAAGATGAAGGGAAGTAGTTATATACATCTTAAGGAGTGCCAAAAAAATGTTAACACCAAGTAACACGTCCAAACATATCAAGAATACACACATACACATATATATATATATATATAAAGTAATTCTAATTATTTATAAATTAAGGACTATTTTCATTATGTATATATATATGAAGTAATTTTATGGAATTTTTTTTTGACAGAATGTAAAAGGTGTTTCTGTTGATCAGACTTCATGATAGAATGTAAGCTGAGTTGTATTTGCAAATGGTAATTAACTTAGTTCATGTGGTTGTAATCTATATTTGCAAGTATGTGTCTAATGGCTTATAGAAAATAGAACAATGGTTTTCTTATGTTTTCCAAATAATTGTGTTCCCTTAAGAAGTGATTTTCTTTTTTTTTTTACATTTTTAACTGAAATACATTATTGTCGATCGTAAAGCGTAAAAGCTTCGAATGAAGAACTGTAAGAATGTAAGATTTTTAAATTTGAATGGTTGCTTGGTAAATTTAAACAAAAAAACATAACTTCAGACGTGTGATTCAGTGGTAGGGGTTGATCCACCCTTAAGCAAGGTCAGCGGTTGGAATCCTGCCTTGTATATGCAGCCGCGTTAAATCTTTGGGTCAGCTATCCTACCTTTGAGGTGCCTCCAAATCTAAGAATGACCAAAAAAAAAAAAAAACATACAAGGCATGCAAATTTGTTGTGTATTTTAAGACTTTCAAGTTCGATCATAAAAAAAATAAAAACTGTTAGGAGATGAAAAAAATAATAGGGTCATTCATATTGATTTTAATAGTAATCCTGGTTAAATAGGAGATGAAAAAAATAATAAACCTCGAGAGATTCCTGTTTAACTGGGATTATAATTTTTCATAAAGATTTTAATAAAATTAAGTAAGTACTTGAAATTAATTATAAGAGATAAAGTTTATTTAACAATTCTTTTATTATAATATTATACAAAATATTTATTATAAAAAAATAAAAATTAATCTATGTCGAGACTACAAGCACATAAGAGTATTTTTTTTATGATTATGTTTTAAAATGTGATAGGTATCAAAACTATGTTGTTTTTTTTAATGAATCTCATCTGTTATTTAGTTGTATCTGCATAAATTTCATCACGTAAATTGTTAGGCTTAGACCATTGACTTCGGATTCACATTATTCAGCCTTTGACGGCCGCCTTAGTCTGTTCTTCCTCGAGGAAAACGTATTTAATTTATTTTGAATTTAAAAAAATAAACCAATAATGTATCTCTTATATTATCAATTGAGTATTATTGAACTAAAAAAGGTCATATTAAGAATATATTGTTGAACAGACAAAGGTGATATGAAATGTCATTAAAAAATTTATTCAGTTTAAATAAGCTAGTGAAAAAAAAAAGAGAAACTTCGTGGTATGAATTTTGTTTAAAATGATATAAAATTAAAAATAAAAAAAAACAGATATTATAATATGTAAATTAAGTGAAGTAATATATAATTAAAAAGAGTAATATAATTTTAAATAAAAATAAAAACTAAAGGTTTAACAAAACAAGTAGATAATTATTATTGATAGAGTAGACAATTAATTTTTTGTATGTGTAATTTTTTCTATTTTACCTTTAAGAAATATAATGATAGAAAAAGATTAATATATAATAATGAAATGTAAATATCTAAAATTGTAAAAATTAAAAAAAGTATTCATATTATATATAATAATATAGATTTATATATAGTGTAGATAACTAAGAGGCTTAACTTCTTCTTCGAGTCGACCCATTTTATAAATAAAAGTAGAATCCAAAGATTTATTTAACAATCGTAAATATAACTTTTAATTAAGTTTCTTGAAAAGTTTTTTTCTTTGAATTTAAAATTTCAAAGGAGGCTTTAAGCATTATTCCAAAAATTAAATTTTCAGAATACATTAAATACTCTTCTAGAACTAAATGTATGTTTCAGCAAGGGTTTGTAAAGTCCTTTTTTATAAAATAAATAAATAAACATTGTGTGAATTTTTTATATAAAAAAAAATATATCGGAGGTGATAATATTCTTTAAAAAAAAATCACTAAATTTCAAGGCGGGCCCGAAGATTCACTAAATTTCCAAGTAAGGTTCATGATATATACACCTCCTTTTTTTTCTATAAGTACACCTCCTTTTAAAAAAAAAAAAAATTTAAAAAAATTTCTATTTTTAAAAAAAAAAAATTAATTTTACATCCACAATATTTATTTTTAGTACTTTTTTTTCACACATCATTCCTCTTTTTTTCAATTTTTACATGCACCCCCCTTTACCTTTTTTTCACCCCACCTATTTTGATAGCATGTGAAAACTAAAAGAGAAAAAAAAAATGTGTGAAATAAAAGAAGAAAGTAGAAAATTAAAAGTTGGAGGTGTAAAATTTAAAAAATTTAAAAAATTATAATATTTTATAAATTTTTTTTAAAAAAATAAAGGAGGTGATAAAAAAAAAAGGAGGTGTATATATCATCAGCCTCCAAGTAATCGCCGAAGAAGATGCTACCCATGTGAAGGCCCAAATAAAAGACTGACTTAGCAGGGGTCACTGGCGGGCTCCAACACACCAAAACCAATACGCTCTTGTGTTGTGTCTCTCACTTTTTGGTTTCGTTGTAATGGATCAATTGTGAATTGTGATGCATACCACATACAGATAGTAGGTTCAGTAAGTTGGGTCGCTCATTAGTTTCACAACTTTTGTTGTAGATGGGACACGTGAACTTAAGGCTTCGTTTGGTGCCATCTAACTATTACAAACGATCATGACTGCTATTTTGTCACTTCATGGTTGCCATCTGGATCTGGACTCATCGCGTTTTCTTGCATCGTCTAAAATCAAGTATTCTATATATTTGTCGCAAGTTTTAAACTAAACAATGACATTTAGGTATCTACTAAAATCAAATAATCCTCATTAAGAATATATTATTGAACTAAAACACAACCAAATGTCATTGATTTGAAGCTTAATGACAAGGATATAAGAAAGTATATGTAAGTTTTATCCTCCCAATCACGAATCCTATGCCTATTAAGCTCGAGAAAATGACGGGGGGAAAAGTAGCCGTCAAAAAAGAAACAGAAGAAAAAGAACTGATCTGAATGTATATTATACACTATGCAGAACAAATTCTCATTTATTTCAGATTACTGATGCGTCTTCAATTTTCATTGTGGCATATAAAAACAACCTTAACGGCTCAGACAGGCCAATGAGAATATAATTTCAATGAATATATCAAATCAACCAAAACTTGGTCGAGAAAATGTTAAAGCCATACAAAATCCGTATACCCGATAACTTATCAAGGGAAGTTATATGAAGGAGCAGGCAAAAAGGGAAAAGGAGCAACAGAAGCATACGCTACAGGAGGACGCACTTGAGTCCGATTAGGACGCCTAGCCTTGATCGGATTACCATTTTCATCATCCAACTCTAGAGTTTCCACAGAGGATGCAGATTTCACAAAACCATTTGCATTGTCTTCTAAGAATTGCTGGTTATCTGAACGACGGTGAATCAGAAGCCCAGACATAAACACAGGGAGATAAAGAAGACTGGCATGGAACATTCTCCTTGCTTTTTCTTTGGTACGGTCTCTATAGAATGAAAATGCTGCAGCGCTTATTGCAAGTGTAAGTACAGTGGACTCGAGACAAAACCATTCAGAAGTCACATCCCCTGTTGACACGTGCAGAAACATGAGTATCAAAATTCTCCTTGTGGCCAAAAATTTCAGATATTCAACGAGAATGAAAACTTTCTACATTCAATCATCGTTTTAACTCAAATCCAACATATCCTTATTTTTAATCTATATCTATCCTAATAATAATGGAGATAACCTGTTTGATATCCACATTTTTCTTATCCGTTTTTACCCTTAATAACTGCACATATACTCAAATAATCATACAAATTATCACAAGAACAATTTGTTATTCTCTCTTCTTTTAATGGAGGCACCGACTGCCTTTTTTCTCTGCTAGTAGGCTATAGTGAACAAACTTCTTATATACAAGTTTAAGTCTGTATACCAGCTGCTACACTAGTGAATTTTACCACAAAACATACAACTATGGTCTTCAACTGTTTGGTCAAGATAGTGGCACTGGGAACAGTCGTCTTCAACAGAACCGAACACTGCATTTGTTGCAGTTTTGTCTGTCTTACCCATGTTTTTGAATACCAGATCGATCCGGTACCCTGACTAGTTCAATAACCAATCCAATTTAAAAGCACTGGTCCTATGAAGCACCGATACTTCAATTTGCTTCACGTATCCGTATCCGATACGTATCCGTATCCGATACGTTTGGATACTTCACCGATACATGTCAATGAAGTATCCTAGTCTTTAAAAATATTATGAAAATTTTATTGAATTCCGATACTCTCAGATACCAATACTTATTAGTGATACGTATCGATAAAGTATTCAAATTTTTGAAAAATTATAAAATATCCATTACAGCTAAATAAGATATATAAACATGTTTAATATAGAAACATAGAAATATTTGTCTATGATGAACTGTAAATGAAAATTATCTTCTATATAGATAATTTTAAGAAAGGAACAAAATTAGTAATATTATTTCTATTTGTAAACAATAAAAAGTAATCTATGATGAAATGATTTATAATTTATTTATTTTTAGTAATGTACAATAAGTATGTTTTTAATTTGGATTTGCAAAATAGCAATTATATATTTAATGTTTATGAATTTTGACCATAATTACATGTACACAATTATTATAATATATGAACATTGATATATATGATGACACGTATCTTACAAGTATCGTATCCTATATATTTTAAAATAATCGTATCCCCGTATCGGATCCGTGTCGTATCCGATACGCGTATCGTATCGATGCATCATAGCACTGGTCTAATCCCTTGGTCACATGCAAAAAGGTTTAAAATTCTGAGACTTGGAAGCTATATTCTTGGTTTGACTAAAATAAAAAATTTATTTTAGTAATTATAAAATATTCAAAAAATCATACAAGTCCATAAATTGAACAGGCCAGAATCTTGTATAAGAAAGATTTCTTGATGAGGTTTTGACTTCAAATAAAATTTATAAGGTATCCTATCAAAGCATGCAATCAATACTAGCATCAGAATTATGACAAAAAAAAATTCAAGAAAAAAAAATCAATGAAGTATGTCTAGAAGGAAACATCTACTCACAATGATAAGCCAAGAACCCCAAAGGGATTAGATATATAGAGTTCCTTAAAGCCACAACTGCTGTTCTCAGCCCAGATGTATCAGTAAGAGAGTACATCTTAAACCTAAATTTGCAACACACAAATGTCAATAAGTAAAGGATATTGTTTAGTGTGGATCATAATTAATCAAATGAAATATATATTATGTGTAGTAAATAGTAATCCACCACGTGCAGCAATTAGTGTAACAAAATCCATCTTTAATAAGCACGAAAAGAAGTAATTTGTATACTAAATGCTGCTATAGATTTGGTCAAATCAACTTGTAGGTCTCTACTTTTTGAAAAATTCAAGATCCTTAGTCTAAATTGTAATTTGGTCCACATAATTTCGAATAAAAATGCTATATTGCTATCCTGAATCAAATTTGGTATCAAAACCATTTAGTTTTTTATTCACATGCACAAGTATTTTAGGTAGATATTGACTAGATAAACAATATGAATGAATATCCGCCACTTAAACAAATATTGTATTAGGGGGCACAAAATAGTTGTATGAAACAGAATTGTCACCATAATCAAAGATATAAGAACATACCCTCCTGCAGCATAGTCATCGCGACACAAATAAGCTAGGGCCATAAAATGGGGTATCTGCCAAAAATATAAAGCAGCTGGAAGAATCATTCCATTTAGTGAAATGCTATTAGAAGCTGCAGCCCATCTGAAAATCAACGTCAAAAAGGTGACAGAAGGAAAAAAAAAAAAAAAAAATACATGCCTAAATGCATGGTGAATGCTGTGAGAGAACATGAGCAAAGAAAAAAGGGACTAATTCCACTTCAAAAGAATTGAAAATCATTTTTTCAAGTGGTTAGGGATTCAATGCCATAATCTTCCCAACATATCACTCACTAACACCTATGGGCTTACAACTTCTTCCAACAACTAAGTAGAGAGACAAAAAACACGGGGGGATAAGATTTACAATAACTATGCCAATCTTCCCAACATATCAATTACTAACACCATTGGACTTACAACTTGCTATGCCTTCCAACAACTAAGTAGAGAGACAAACAACACAGGGGGATAAGATTTACAATAACTATGCCAATCATTTAAAACTAATAATACTTTTTTGTTATCTTCTCTTTGATAGGTACCAAATTATGATAACAAAGGGACAGGAAAATATTTACATTTTTCTGCCTGGTTAAGCATTTGAAAAGGCTTGATTATTATAAGTTGCCCAAAATCTTAATCTCTCCATATCAATCTTGTGTAGAACAACTTGACTTCGTAAGGATTTTACATTGCACATGGCAAAAAGATTAAACCACAGTTACATTACATATATCCCTCAAGCATTCTGAAATTTGCAGTGCATTGAAAAGCCAAAGAAAAACTTGTACATAATTTACCCCATAAGTGGTGGAATAGCGCCAACAATGGCTCCCACCCATGTGTTTACAGGATGAATCTGCTTCAAGGGAGTATATACAAATGCATACAGAATCAGGTTGGAAGCAGCAAGCCCAGCAGCTAAAATATTAGTCTGGAACAACCTTGTCATAAAGCTGCAATGTTAGTCCTTCCACTCAAAGAACATCAAACATTTGATAAGAAATTCATCCATAGGCTTATAAGTTACAATAGAAAAGCATACAATCAACGAAGTAAGCAAATTTGTTTCACTACCTGTGTTGCTAGCAGAGCCGTACCAGCTATACCAACAGAGGCGGCCCAGCCAACAGCATGAGGTACTGTGATGCGTCCTGAAGGTAGTGGCCTTCTACTTGTTCTCTTCATTTTAGCATCATTGTTGATCTCAAATACCTAAAAAAGACACAACCATTGAATTGATCTTATGTTGACCAAAAAAATCTAATAGACAGAGGCACTAATGGTGTGTTTGGATGAAGAATTTATATAGGGTAATTCATTTATTTGAAGAATTTCAAATTTCTTGAAGTGAAATACTTTGTTTGGATGAGGAATTTACAAAGAATTTAAAATCCAAGCATTTGTGAAATTCCTTAAAATAGTATAATTTCAAATTCTCCCAAAAATGGGAGAATTTGAAATTCCTCATATTTATTTTTCTTATTTCACCTATATATTTTATCTTATCTCTTCATTCTTTTAATTATTGGATATTCAAAAATATTTTTAAAATTATTAAATATTATCTTATATTAATTTTTAAAATTATTAAATATTATCTAATATTAATTTTTAAAATTATTAAATATTTAAAAATGGATTAATATTTATTTTTATAAAATTTAATTTAAAAATCTCAACATATAAATATATTTTTAAAATTAATTTTACTATGATGGAATCAAATTATCATATTCAACCTAATAATTTAAAATTTAAAAAATTTGAATTGACTCATCCAAACAAAATATTTTAAGAATGATAGAAATTGAAATCAAAGTAATTCAAATGCCAAAAATTTAAAATTCCTTGAATTTGTAAAATTCTTCATCCAAACACACTATAAGGGTAAGGGGAAATGAAAGGCACGTGCATTAGAGCATTCTAGTTAAATTGTCTTTACGCAATAATAATAAATATATTTTATATTCATAAAAATTACATAGCTAGAAGGACAAACAAGTTTCAGTTTATCATTGTCTATCTTCATATAGATACTCTCACTCCTCTTTCTTTATCTTCATAGTGATTCCTACGTTATACTAACAAAAGAAAAACAATTGAATCACAGTAAAAAATTGTAGAGTAATATAATCTTCACAAGAACCAACCTGATTCAAAGAGTTAGCAGATGCAGCAACCATCATAGTACCCAAGCAAGTCCAAGAAAGTGCCGACAGATCAACAGCACTACCACTCCCCAAGACAAATCCAGTCCCAGACGTTGCAACCACGAGCATGCTGGGATTTAGTTAGAAATCGATTAGTTAAAAAAGTGTCGTATAACAAAATAATAGTTTTTTTTTCTATATAAATTACAATGACAGACAACAATACTCACGAACTTAAGACTTTGTGCAAACTCCTCCAAACCCCACCACACAAAATAATAGGTTTAGCACAATGACTACTATAAAAAAAAATATGAATTCTAACAAAACAGGCATGCAGGAGATAGATAAAAATATAGTACAAATATTGTGAAAGTTCAAAAAGTTAAAAGGGAATCTACATGGAAAGCCCTAGATGCTAAAGTACAAATGAAGATTCAACTGAAATGAGCAATATGGCAATGACAGGATAATTTGTGTCCTCTAATGATTCAACATAATCTTCTTCTTAAATTCTCGATTGTAATTGTAAATTGTAAATTCTAAATCCAAATACTAATTGATTTGCATAGATAGTATAAAAGAGGCGACAACGAGAACGATGAGAAAGCAGAAAAAGCGTGAAATGATAGAAAAGAAACCTGAGACGGGCCTTGGAGAGTTCCCAATAGCACCTTCCATAGTGGCGGGTGAACGAAACGACATCGGTGGTGGCTTTGGAGGGTGAAGCGGAAGCGATGTGGAGTGCAGTTGCAGAAGAAGCGATGAGATGGGAATTGGAAGAGGAAGAGGAAGAAGAAGAAGAAGAGGAACGAAGATAATTAAGGTTGTGAGAATGGGAATTAAGGAATTTGGAACAGAAGGAGGTAAGAGAACTCCTCCTCAACATTGTTGATCGCAGTTGCAGCCAATCCAAATCACAACACTTCCAACAACACGCGTCTTCTAACTTCTAATCTAACTTTAATAATTGGGCTCACTCGGACCCACAACCGTTTTGGGCCTCATCGTCATAATGGCTCTGTGGCCTAATTTTTTTTTTTTTTTTGCTGAATGTAAAGTTTAGGTATGATCTGTGGGCTAACTTAAGCATATATTTTACGAGTTAATTACCTATATACTGTCAGTATAAAATAAATTTACACTATTAATTAATTATATTTTTTAATTTTAATTGTGTCATGTCACTATAAACACATTTATTTTTAACAGTGACATAGCAGTGTATAGATAATTAATTCATATTTTTTATACTGGCAGTGTATAGGTAATTAACTCATATTTTACCAGAAAAACTATTTTTTTTATCTTTATAATTATTAATAAGGTCGAAATACATAGTATGAATTCAAACACATAAACATGAAAATACGATAAAATCAAAAAAATATAAAACACATGTATATATATATATATATATATATATATATATTGCAAATAACATGACAAAAAAGTTATATATTAACATGATAATGACTTATTAAATCTCAAAAACAAATTACCAAGAGACATTATATTTTATAACAAAAAAACTCTTCTTTTAAGTCTCAAATCTTTCTTTCATTGTTTTTTTTTTTATTAAGATTTTTTCTTTTATGTTACATAAATGTTAGGTAAGAAAAAACGAGAATAATTCTCTTCCTTATTTTTGTTTTTATCAAGATTTTTTTCTTTTTTTTTTTTAATCCTCAAATTCTCTCCTTTTTATTTTTATTCTTATTGAGATTTATTCTTCTTTTTCTTTTAAAAAACAAATATCAAATTCTCTCTTTTTTGTTTCTATTTTGATCAAAATTTATTATTTTTTAAAAAATCTTAAAGTTGCATATCAAATAATACATTGAGATAGAGACATGTTTATTTAAATGTGTCTGCGATAAAGATACGTCATTTTTGTAAGTGTCCGCAATAGAAACGAGTTCAATTTCAAGTGCAAGATAGACTTCGTATCTCTATTAAAAATCAAAAAATAATAATAAAAATATGTTAGTTCAATTGATATTTATAGTTTATTATTGAATCTCAAGATCTTGAGTTAAAGTCTTGAGTTTGATAAAAATATTAATTTTTTAATTTTTTTTATAATAAAAAGATATAATAATATACCAAATGTAGAGATTAAGGTAATTATTAAAAGAAACATCCCCTTTAATTAATATAAATAATAAGAAGAAGAAAGCTAAAAAAATGTAAGAAGAAGAAGAAATTAGGTTACGACATCTTAATGTAATCTTATGATTATTAAGAAATAATAATAATAATTTTGTACTATCATTTAAGACTAGTTACAAAATCAATTAATTAAGTTCTCAATAAAAATTACTCACCTATAAAACTAATTAATACTTCGTTCTAATTATATAATTATTAACACAAGACATTATTTAGATTTGAAATCACTTTCCACTTTCTGCCTGATTAATGATATGTTGGTATTATTTTTAATTTATCGATAGTATACATACCAACAATATATAGAAGTTAAATTGTAATAATTTTCATCATCTCGTAGAAACATTAAATTTTAACTGGTTAATAGTGCAACAAAATTATCGATAAACAAGTTTTACTTATTTAATAGATACCATGATTGAATTTTAAAAGCAAACAAGTTTTGTTAACGTAAGAGTTGTGAATTGTGATATGTTAAGAAATAGAATAAAATCCATTGCTCAGTTTAATTACTTACAAATTGATTAATAGTTTTTTTTTTAAATTGATATTAAATAATTTCCTTTTATTTAATATGAAATATTTTTGTTTCTTAACATATGTACTGAGAAATACACTGTAGTATCATATAAATAATTGCTTTTTTTATTTGAAATGATGTTGAACTATTTTTTTAATAATAATAATGAAAAATTCAGTTGATCTCTCTCTCTGTGAAGTCTATCTATATAAATTATTATTCAATGTGATACTTTAATACAATGTTCTGTATCCAAACTCTCCCTTTGATGAATTTTTATTACATGTGTTAATCAGTTAGTCTGCAATTTATTATTTCTCTTTAATCTAAAGGTGACTTTAACCTGTTTAAACATGGTGTCAAAAGAAAACCCTGCTTAAACAGTGTCGATTTTTATTTTTAGTACAGGCAACAAGTGTTTGGAATTACTACATCAAATCTTCAGAGTCTCATTCAGCTATCCTTTCTTTATGCTTAATTGTCTATATTTTTTAATCTTATGAAACAGAGACATATCCCTAAAATAAGTCCTTACACATGGTGCTAACAAAAAATAGTTACATCTTATTTTATGTTGTCGCTGATAATGACACTTTATTTTTATTTTTTGCTTAAAGTGATTTTTTTCCCTGTTATCTTTGAAAAATATATTTGCCACTCGTAGCTGATGAGGATTTGTGGTTCTGCTATGTTGTCAACAAGCTTTAACCTCCTTATCTAAACAAAGTATTGGCATGTTCCTTCTTTTGTAAATTTGTTAGATAAAAACACCAAATTTCTAATTCCTTTAACATAGCTGTTATTATTTTAATATGTAAATTGAATCAATTTAACGCTTAGATTGAACAGTTCAACTAGTTTATAAGATTTTTAATTCAACAGATTAATTAATTTTATATTTCATATAAAGTTGTTAAGTGATGAAAATATACAAATTGATGTGTCAATTTTAATATATATAATCTAAAAATAATTCTCTAAAGATGTTGAATTATAGCAGTTTTATAAATGCATAAGAATTTGATATTAAACCAGTAAGTAAATGAGTTTAAGAATAAAACTAAATAAGATTTGACCAAATTGAATGTTGCTATTGAAAAACATAGTTGTAAGAGAAAATTTCACTAAAATATGACAAGTTTTTTTTTATTTTATCAAAATTAGTCATTGTTGAAATTATTGAAAATTTTACATTAAAAATATTATTTAAAAAAAGAATTTGGGAATATCAATAGAGAGAGAGAAAGAGAGAAAGAAATTCTATACCGTACTATTTAAATTTCGACAGATAATTTTTCAAAAGATAATTTACATACGATACAAGTAAAACGTGAATTTTTTGACAGGGAAATAACGAAATTATTTGCATAAAGCCAAGGAAGGAGCATTGTATGTTTACAGAAAACACTAACATAAGATGCGAATATGCTATTATTATCATAAATTTAAAATACATTAAATAAACTATATTATCATATATACTTTTTTTTTTTATCTTTGAAAATATGAGGAAGAGATTGAGAGGCAGAGAAGTGAGAAGGAGATAGCCAGAAGCATAGGCTAAGATTGATTGTCCACAACATGTGGACCGCAAGAACAACGAATGTTTAGATCATCAACTACCCTTTTTCCTCTCTCACTCTCACCAACACAACCAACACTCTTCTTCTTCACTTCAACCACCCTCACAAGTGGTTGCTTTGGCTTTTGCTTTGGTTTCACTTAACTTGAGTCATGGCATCCTCTTCCTCTCTTCATCTTTCTCAGGCCCTCTTGGCCCGTGCTGTGTACCTTCATGGCTTCAACTCTTCATCTTCTGATCGTGTCTCACTCACCTTCCCATCATTCTCTGGCCTCAAGTCACATTCTCCATGCAAAGCAGCCACGTCCACTTCAGCTTCACGTAGAAGGGGTGGTGCTATATCCACCACCACTGTTCGTGCCACTGCTGTTGAGACACTTGACCAGACCACTGAGGTTTCACTGGTGGAGAAATCCATCAACACTATTCGGTTTCTGGCCATTGATGCTGTTGAGAAGGCCAACTCTGGCCACCCTGGCCTCCCCATGGGGTGTGCTCCAATGGGTCACATTCTCTATGATGAGGTCATGAGGTACAATCCTAAGAACCCCACTTGGTTTAACCGTGACCGTTTTGTTTTGTCTGCTGGACATGGTTGCATGCTCCAATATGCTCTCCTTCACCTTGCAGGATATGACAGTGTTCAGGTCAGCTTTAACTTCTTCTTGCACTTTTGGTAGTTTATTTGGATCTGTGACTGAGAATTCTGATCCTCATGCTATGCATTTGTAATTATGCACTCGCAACATTAATAGTAAAGGGTTTTTACAAGATCATTCAATTAAGTATTGACATGGAAGATAAATTTGTTGACTTTTATAATAACTATTTTAAAAGTTGTTGGAGATCCCGCATCCCAAAATACTAGTAAGGAAGAATTTTCGCCTTACTAAGTGGTTTTTTAAAGTTGAGTTGGTCCTAAATTCACTTTTTTAAAATAATATTAAAGCTATTGGTTTTGGACCTATCGTGTCATATACTATCAGACCACACATAAATGTCTAATCCTTGGTATGGGAGACCAAAATAGAGTATGTAAGTGCAGAACAATTCTATCTTAAAAGTCAGTTTTGTAAGTAGTTAGGAAAAATACACTTTCTTCATAAAAGTCATACCTAATATGATATGTTGTTATATGTTCTCCAAATTTATTTACATTGATTGGTGAAACAGTTTTGAGTCCTTTTGTATTTGTTTGACATTTGTTTTTTTATCTCTTTCATAAGAACTAAGAAGTGAGATGGTGTGTGTATCTTAATAGCCCTCACCAAAGGTTCATATGAATGAACTTTGATGGAAATACAATTGTGAAGCCTTTAAAGTTGTGGGATCTTCATTGGCTGAATTTGTTGTTTCCTGGTTACATGATAGGAAGAAGACCTGAAGAATTTTAGACAATGGGGGAGTAGGACTCCTGGACATCCTGAGAACTTTGAGACGGTTGGAGTTGAAGTGACCACAGGTTAGATGTTTCTTTAGTTTATGTTATCATAGTGAGCCTTTTTGCTGTGTTCTGTTGCTTATCCTTATGTTTTGTTTAGGTCCTCTGGGTCAGGGAATTGCCAATGCTGTTGGATTAGCACTTGCTGAGAAACACTTGGCTGCACGATTTAACAAGCCAGACAATGAGATTGTTGACCATTACACGTAGGATAACTACATCTTTTTCAGTGCCCTTTCCTTTTATCTACATTCTGATCTTTGTACTTGCAAGGCCTGGTGTTTTACCGATGAGATTTGTTTTCTTTTTGTTTTACTCGTGCAGATATGTTATATTGGGCGATGGTTGTCAAATGGAGGGAATTTCAAATGAAGCGTGCTCACTTGCCGGTCACTGGGGTCTAGGGAAGCTTATTGCTCTATATGATGACAACCACATTTCCATTGATGGTGACACTGAGATTGCATTCACTGAGAATGTTGATCAACGTTTTGAGGCACTAGGATGGCATGTAATTTGGGTGAAGAATGGAAATACGGGGTATGATGAGATTCGTGCAGCCATTAAGGAAGCAAAGGCTGTCAAAGACAAACCCACTTTGATCAAGGTTAGTTACATGACACGAAGATTGATGCAAATGGATTTATCCAAAACATCATTTTATCACTTGATTATACTTGTGGAAGTAGCATAATGCGATTGCTGTAAGAAAGGAAACCCTTTTATATGCTTTTCTTTGTTGTTTTTCTTGTTTGGGTATTTTATCAGCTTTATGCTCATGTATGATTGCTATTTCACAGGTAACCACTACCATTGGATTTGGTTCTCCAAACAAGGCTAACTCCTACAGTGTTCATGGAAGTGCATTAGGTGCTAAAGAAGTGGATGCTACAAGGAAGAATCTTGGATGGCCATACGAGCCTTTCCATGTGCCAGAAGATGTTAAAAAGTATGAATGGGGGGAGGGTTAGAGATATCTTTGTCTCCTCTTAGTATGCTGATGACATTTTCATGGTCTAAAATGCAACTTTCTTAACTTTTCCTTAGGCATTGGAGTCGCCATGCTCCTGATGGTGCTAAACTTGAAGCTGAATGGAATGCCAAGTTTTCTGAATATGAAAAGAAATACAGTGAGGAAGCTGCAGAGCTGAAGGCTATTATCACTGGTGAATTACCAGCTGGCTGGGAAAAAGCACTCCCGGTGAGTAAAGTACCAAACTTCTAGTTTTCTTATGATATGTATCATTTTATCTCGAGGTATAGCTTCTTAGTAGTTGCATGGTGCCTAATCCAACTTCATTGGTGCCCTTATAATTATGAAATTTCCGATAGTATCTTTATTCTCAGGATCACTAACTCTATTGGTAGTGATTTGTTTCCATGATTTGTCATAACTTCAAATTCAAATTTATTATAATGTTCATTGCAATTTCATTCATCATTCCACTTTTTTGCTTCATGCATGTATAGCCTTCAAAGTTTTAAGATAAATAAAACTTGACCTCCATCATTTGTTTCCTAATTATTGACCGCCCTACCATTTGATTTCAACTTTCAGACTTACACACCAGAAAGCCCTGCTGATGCTACGAGAAATCTGTCTCAGCAAAATCTAAATGCCCTTGTTAAGGTTCTTCCTGGTCTGCTTGGTGGTAGTGCAGATCTTGCATCTTCCAACATGACCTTGTTGAAATCATACGGAGATTTCCAAAAGGCTACTCCAGAAGAGCGCAATGTTAGATTCGGTGTTAGAGAACACGGAATGGGAGCAATCTGTAATGGTATTGCTCTTCACAGCCCCGGATTCATTCCATACTGTGCAACTTTCTTTGTCTTCACCGACTACATGAGAGCTGCCATAAGGATTTCTGCACTATGTGAAGCTGGAGTTATTTATGTGATGACTCATGATTCAATTGGACTTGGAGAGGATGGACCAACTCATCAGCCAATAGAGCACTTGGCAAGCTTCAGGGCAATGCCAAATGTTTTGATGCTTCGTCCAGCTGATGGTAATGAAACTGCTGGATCGTACAAAGTTGCTGTGCTTAACAAGAAGAGACCCTCAATTCTTGCACTTTCTAGGCAAAAGTTGCCCCAACTTCCGGGAACTTCTATTGAGGGAGTTGAAAAGGGTGGCTACATCATTTCAGACAACTCATCAGGCAACAAGCCTGATATTATCTTGATTGGAACTGGTTCTGAGTTGGAAATTGCTGCTGCTGCTGCTGAGGATCTAAGGAAGGAAGGAAAAGCTGTTAGAGTTGTTTCTTTTGTTAGCTGGGAACTTTTTGAGGAGCAGTCAGATGAATACAAGGAGAGTATTCTCCCTGCTTCTGTATCAGCTAGAGTTAGCATTGAGGCAGGATCAACATTCGGTTGGCACAAGATTGTTGGGAGCAAAGGAAAAGCCATAGGCATTGATCGATTTGGAGCAAGTGCTCCAGCAGGAAAAATATACAAGGAGTTTGGTATCACCAAGGAAGCTGTTATCGCTGCTGCCAAAGAAGTTTCGTAGATCTATTTGTTGAGTTTCTTTTATCTCATCTGAACTTGTGGTTTTCACTGGTGGCTTTGGGTAATTACATGATTTTGTTTTTTGAGATATCACTTTAGCCACAATAAGAAAGATTAGATTGCTATTGCATATGATTGTCAGAGGAGCCACTTACATTAAAGGATGAGTTGAATTAATGAAGTTGTATGAATTTGTGACAGCTATTTTGGCTTGTTAGTTTTGCTGTGATGTAGTTTTAATTAGCAATCCTCACTTTAGCACTCAAGTCTGATCAGATACGGCTTCTAGGAAGAATTATATCGTTCTCTAATTATTATTTAAACTAAAAATTCCGGTTTAAAACCATTACTAAATCGTGTCTCTCGAAAGCTGGGGCTATAGGATTGTTTCACTGATACTAATTTACTTTTTTAGTGTAGATAAGTATTTCAAAACAGTCAAATTTATGTATGGTTCTTTAGATAACCGTCTGTTCCAGGACTTTGATCCTGAAATTTTGCCTAATGTGGTACTGATTAGCCATATTTATCCCACGAGCCTCTTCACATTTGTGTGGCTTTAGTTATCATGATATCCAAAAGAAGAAGTCATATATGGCTTCCTTAGTAACCCCACTGATCCTCCCCTCTAGCTTTTGAGAGAGAATTGAAGAGAAGTATAATGTGTTATCATATTGGAGAAAATGGAATAATTATACAACCTAGTTATTCAATTATGTACTGAAAATAGAAGAGATACAAAATGAAGCCTATGCTGTCTTGTATGTTTAAACAATGTATCAATAATTATTCTGGGTGTTTGTCCTTGTTTTCGTTGATCCTATTTAAAAGGTGAGCATACACTAATTCATTCCACAAATCAGGAACACCGGGAAGACACCAATGGCTACAATCCTGATGTGTAAGCATGTATTTTTTTGTCTCTTCAGTCATATTCTCGTTTCTGTACAAGGAAGGGTGAGCATCACGCCTGATATCAGTCATTTTTGTGATGTTCAAATAGAACACTGGAGTCTTCATTCTCTCAATTACTGACTCAATGGTCCTCATCATTGGAGGATTTTCTGACAAGTCGGACTCATTCTTCATTGGTTCTGTCTCATTCTCACACTGACCACCTGAATTCCATTCTCCACCTCTATAGCAGAAAAAAAGATTATATTAGTCCTAAATCCAAAGCATTCACTAAACAAATTGCTCTTTATTACCTGAAGTGTGATGGAGAATAACCCCTGAAGAAAACTGCAGTTTTCTTAGAATCAACATTGGTATCCACCCACTGTGACCATGTCATCAAAGCTCTACGAAATGCCTCCTCAACATTCATTTGTCCATGGATATGATCTCCTTCTTGATAATATCCCTTCCTGCAAGTTGCTTAAAAAGTTGTCATCTAAACTTTCCCCATTGGTGTCTCTAAATCTAAATAGTTTTCATTTGAGTTGAAAGGTGAGAGATCATGCATTGATCTGAATAGAAAAGCAACATCATTTCTACCAACTACCAAATTTAAAAGAAGAAAAAGAAGCATTACCCTTCAATTCTTTTCTCATGAGTCCACCAGTGACCTGTGTTGAAGATAAGAACATCTGCATCTTTGTACTTATCACAAGATCTCTCAACCAAATCAAGACGAAGTGTTTCTTTCGTTGATCCTTTCTGGTCCGGAATCTCCCACTCTTGAACAAGAAATGGTGAACGGAAGAACTCAACTGAGCAATTGTAATCCTGTTCAAAATTAAACAAGGAGCACACAAAATTATATTTCTGGTATAAAACAGCAACCTCAACTTAAATTTGATCACCAAAATTATTCTAGCTCTAAGCAGTTGAACTCAAGCCATTGAAGCCAACCAAACAAATGGCTACAATTATTTTCAATTTCTGGAGTTTTGCCTATTTTCTCGTATTGATCATTTAGTTATCAGATGTAATATAACATCTTCAATTTTTTCACTCCAATGTATTTCTAATTTTGTCTAACGTTTGTTTTTGTTTAAGTAAACAGGAAAAGATGCAAAAGAACCATAAAAATTTCATCTTAAGCATAGTGAGGGAATAACATATGACATACTTTGAAGATAAATGAGTAAGAACCCTCTGTTCGAAATTCTTCTCTACCAGAGGCTTCAAACATGCGGCTCTTATCTTCCACTGAATTTCTAAGAGTACAAACCAGAGATTCCCACATATTCCTATTGAGAGAATCACCAATATAGACTAAACGTTTCCCTCTTAGTATCTCCAACATGTCGCTACCTTTTAACCTGCGTACATACTCATCTCACTAAAAGAGAACCAAAAGGTACAGACAGCAACGCAAAACAAAATTCATCTCTCTCTCCTTCTCAGGAAAAGAAAAAAAAAATAGCTAGCCATGATTGAAGTCTAGAAATATCAATGTGAGACAACAGCTAGCTTGCCATATTTTCCTGCACCTTGAATCTCATAGCAACTTAACATGAGAAATTCTGTGGTACCCTCGAAAATTTAAGGGTCTTGATACTGTTATTGAGAATCTCCCTCCCTCTCCTTTGATATGGCCAAACTCATTCAACTATTGGCCCCAAGAAACAACTGTATCCAAACCTTTAGATTTCTCTGGGTGCCATAACAACTCTCATTTTCCATTTCTTTCAAGAGCTTGTTTGGATATAAGTTAGAATGCTTTTTAGAATTTTTTTACTGGAAAAAGCTTTTCAATTTTAGAAGATACGTTTTCAAAAACACTTCTAAACTTATATCTCTACATGCTCCGACACACATTGGGTGAACTCATATCAGAAAATACCTTGGAATGTTGCAATTCTTGGGCTGCCACCTGTACTTCTCATAAATATTATCACTCCTACCATTGGCGAAACAGTTAAAAGGCTCATCAATAAAGGGACAAGACCCAGCACTGTAAAGTGGATATGAATCATCTCTAACCCATGACCCTTCATACATATCACAACTATTCCCCGTTTCCACACCACCCGTCATATTTGGAGAAGCTGTTGGTGGTGATGGTGGCCATGATGTAGTTGGAGTTGGTGATGGTGACCATGTGGTAGGAGTTGGTATTGGTGACCATGCAGTGAGGGAAGGCTCTTGTGGTGGTGTCTGAATTCTATGTTCCTCACTTGGTGGGTGCACATGTGCACCACCACTTTGAGAACCATCCCTTCTCAAACCCTCCTTTGGTGCAAGTCCAGAACCTTCTTTTCTTGAAATCTGAGGGGGAGGAGGAGCACCCCCTAGCCCATGATGATCTATTGCACCATCACCATTCTTAGAACTTCCACTTTCTAAGGAAAGATCTTCATGTTTAGGTCTATCATTGAAGCTATGAGGGGTGTAAGGGGGTGGAGAATAGGAAGAGTTATAGAATATGTGAGCTAAAACCGTAGAGAAGTTATATCTGCGAGAAGGGTGAAAAGCGTTTTTGATTCTTGGAGCGAGTTGATAGCTCGAAGGATTGAGAACGAGGAAGAGCATGAACAAGATGGAAGCACAGGTGAAACCGTAAGCAAAGCTCATGAATCTTCCGGAAGAAAAGAAGCGCATGGAGTCTGTTCTCGCAAGTAAACGGTTCCTGGAAATGGCTGGGGAATCCGCCATTGTGCTGGCTTGTTTGATATCTCAGTTAGCTCACAATCACAAACTTGGTTCGTTCGTTCGTTCGTTAAGTTGTTCTGCAAAACGGTGAGAATTGAGATGATAGAGGGAAAAAAAATTGTGTTGCTATTTTTGGCGAGAGAAAGAGATTAGAGAAGACATAGTGTGGTTTATGTTGCGAAAGAGAGAAGAAAGGAGGAGACGGAGGAATTAACGTAGGAGCCGTTTTCGTCGATTCACATGTACGCTCAGCCCACCACAGATCTACGTGCATGCTTGCTCAACAAATTTTCTCCTCTTGTCTTTTCTTAGATAATTGTCATGAAATCTTAGATCATCACATACTTTGGTGGGAAATTAAAGTTATATATATATATATATATATATATCTATATATATATATATATATATATATAAAATCTCACCAAGATTGCTTGATGACTGCTTCATTATGATTAACATCCATATTGGAGCAATTTCTTACAAATAATTATGGTGAGATATGAGAATAATTAACCCATTAGGGTCAGTCTAGTCCTTTTCTTTTTGTGAATAGTTTATTTAAGTTATTAAATTCTTAATTTACATTAAAAAAATGAGAATAATTATTAACTAATTTTTACTATTGTTCTAAAAAAACTAATTTTTAATAATAATTATTTGTGCATGATTAATGTATAGTCTAGATTTAATTCTCATTTCTTACAATAATTTTCACATGAAATATTCATCTATAATTTATGATAATTTATAAAGGAGATATAACTTCTTGCTGTCCACTTTTTGAAGGATAGTTATACCTTTATGTTGTATTCTAATTTTTTTCTTACTAATATATATTTAAGGATAAAATAGGAAAAAAATGTATATAAAAAATAAATGTTCTTTTTAAAAATAATAAGTATTTGCTTTTTTTTTTCTATAAAACACTTATTTTTTTTCACAAATACGAAATATTTTTTTTTCCTTGCTTTGTGGTCTATAAGGGATATATAACTCATTTGCATCAAAGTAATACCTCTAAGTATAACTTCATATGCAAGTCAAGAATCAAACTTTAGTTATGTTAGTATAAAGAAGAGTTGTATGAATTATTCACACAATAATTTATACAACATTTTTTTTATCTATCTTTTTTCGTCACAACATTTTTCACAGTATGTATTTTTCTCTCTTTTCTCTTTCAGTGTTAGAATTTGTTGTATAAATAATATTTCTCTATATAAACAACAGGTGACAAAAGAACTAACCCAACCCATTTTGGCCTGTCACACCATGAGTCTGCTCAAAGCATGTTAAGGTAGGTTGCCTCACTTAGCATATTTGGGTTGAAAATTAAATTAAAAAATAAAATAAAAAGATTTAAAGTTGTAAAATTATTAGTTTACCCAACTTAAAAATAAAAAATGGATGGCCCAACAATCTAGTGTGCTCCATGCCATTGGAATTTACCCGTAATCAAGCCCACCTAAAAAAAGTAGATTAAATATGCCAGCCCGTTGGAGTAAACCAAATTTGCCTCACATACATGTACTTTATTATTGAACTTGATTAAAAACCAAATTCTAATAAAAAAAATAAAAATATTTTAAATATAATATCTAAAACATCCTTATATTTTAAAGTTAAAAAATTATAATAATACAAAGTTAATTTAGTTTTTAAAATACACATACTATAACTTAATGAACCGAATAACTCTTTTCCTCCCTTAAATTCCCTCTCATCCCTCCTCTTAATTATAGAGAATGTCTAATAAAAATCCTTTCTTTACTCTCCCTTCTTTGAATCAAAGGATCCTTAACAATTTCCTCTAATATCTTTTTTTGGTTTTTCTTTACCCTTTTCCACTGAAAACTAAATAATCATTCAATCAGTACCACACTAATATCCCCACCATTTATACCAAATATCCATACGATGAATCTTCAACTCCTCTATACCAATTACATAACAGAAATAGATATAAGAAAACAGATATAGTTTCTCCTTAAATTACTCATTTATTTCATTCATACAAATCAAGCATGCAAAGAAACGAGTCAATGAAGAAGAATGTTACTGTGACAATGACATACATGAACACCATAAAGGGATATGTAAATGACATCCATAAAGCTCTTGGCAGGTGATAGAGCGATTGACTTGAGGTTTAAGAGAGACCAATGACTTTTCCGGTTGTTGTATCAAGATCAATGTCATAGAAGCATGGCCTTGTTGGAAGCCCTGGCATGGTACTCATTGTTCCAACTAAAGGATAAATAAATCCAGCACCTATACTAGCTCTTACATCCCTTATGGGCAAGACAAAGCCACTTGGAGCTCCCTTTGCTGCAGCATTGTCTGAGAAAGAATACTGAGTCTTAGCCATGCAGATTGGAAGACCTGAAAACCCTTGCTTGCTATACATCTCAATCTGCTTCTCAGCCTGGTTAGACAACAAGAATGACAATTAGATTGTCAAAGGGTGTATCCATTAAACAGTATAAAAGGAAAGAAGAGAAATTTTTCTGTTTGTATTTAATTAACAAATAACAATTATAGGTACATCATATATTAAGGATTTGGTATGAGCAAGGAAACTAAAACTTTGTGGAGTGTGAGGTTTATGTAGTCCTTCGTTGCATCATTAAGGATAGAATTATGTTACATGGATTCTGTTAGTGTTTTATTTACTCATGCCTACTTCAAGTGAGTTCATATATAGAGATTGTGCATATTTCTCCATTTACTATCTAATACAGCATTCTCTTCCCCATCCCACCAAAAAAATGTATAGTAAAATAAGTGGGGGTAACATTATACTGAAGAAAAAGTACACTTTCATATCTACTCAAATAGAATTGTTTCTAGTAGAGGATACCTGCGGTTTATACCAAAGGTACACTTTTATAATCATATAGGAGATGAGACTACCTGTTCTGAGTACTCAACGCCACTGGCTCCATATGACTTTGCTATTGCCTCTATTTTCTCTTTTATGCTCAGATCCAGAGGATACAGGAACTTCAATGGCTGTGACACATTCTCACAAGCTTTTTGAACCGCTATGCCCAGGTCAACCTGAATCATGACAAGGCACACCTCAGCAAATAATAAATAATATTCGCATCCAGTAACATGCATGTAGATAAACTAAATTGTGCTGCTAATTGTAGCCCTGAAATGGTTTCATTTACTTAAAATCTGAAGTCTAAAGCATGGGATGGATATAAATATGTGCTGACACAAGCAACTCGATATGATAAACAATTCATATAGAAGGCTAAAATTTAAAGACACCTCAAAGCTAAATTTTATATTCAAATATGCTAGGCCACAACTTAATCAAAAGTGGCCTATTGATTCTAACATTTCTTTATTTTCTCCTTTGGTTTTATTGATTTTTATAATTCAGTATCCTATTCATATGTGTCAAGGTAAAAGACTGGTATTGTCTATATGGCTTCTATGTTACTCAAATGTAAGATTCAGGAAGTATGAACTTACGGCTCCTTTGCCACCATGTGCATGATGGGTACAAATTACAGCATCAAAAGCCCCAGCAGCTAAAGCAGCACTTCGAACTGCATTTAGCTCAGCTTCAGTGTCCGTTGAAAATTTGTTAATAGCAACTACAACATTTACACCATAAGATTTTGTATTTGATATATGCCGTGCCATATTCACACAACCAGCCTCAACCAGGGCAACATTTTCAGTCAAATATGCATGGTCAAGAGGTTTGCCAGCAACAACTGCTGGCCCTCCACCATGCATTTTTAGTGCCCTTATTGTTGCCACAATAATCGCACATTGAGGTGTCAAACCACTATAACGACACTTAATGTTCATAAACTTTTCAGCTCCAATATCAGCACCAAAACCAGCTTCAGTAACTACAAATCCACCTGGTCCAACCAACTTCAGTGCAATCTTATCGGCCACAATAGAAGAATTCCCATGAGCAATATTTGCAAATGGACCTGCATGAACAAGAACAGGGGTCCCTTCCAGAGTCTGCATAAGTGTAGGGTGAATAGCATCCTTCATTAGAACTGTTAAAGCACCTCCAACACCTAGATCATCAGCAGTAACAGGGTCACCACTCTTGCTATTCCCAATAACCATTCTCCCAAGCCGCTCTCGCATATCAGCTAAGGATGTTGTCAGTGCCAAAACAGCCATTATCTCACTTGCAACTGAAATATCAAATCCTGTTTCTCGTACCATTCCTTTCTCATCAGGTCCCTGGCCAATAGTAATTTTTCTCAAGAATCTATCATTGATGTCCATTACTCTCCTCCATGTAATAGAATCTGGGTCAATATCAAGCCTAGCAAATTTATTTACTTCTTCTGGTGTAAGATCATCTGGATTCGTCTTTGAAATACCAAGCTTTATAAGACGCCTAAACATGACATTACTAAAGCTCCTCTTCCCTTCTTTATTTGGAGGGCACAACCGGTTAAAAAGAGCCTTATCAGACTGCGTTGACTCATGGAAAATTCGGGTATCTATTGCAGCAGCTAGAAGATTGTTTGCTGCAGTTATAGCATGAATATCTCCTGTTAGATGAAGATTGAATTCATCCATGGGAATAACTTGGCTATAGCCACCACCAGCTGCACCTCCTTTAATCCCAAAAGTAGGTCCTTGTGATGGTTGCCGAAGGCAGGTGACTACCTAACAAATAGATAAAATGGAAATATGTACCCAGCTTAACTTTGACATATGATTAAATAGTATAGTTTCCCATTGATATCTTGGAGCCAAATAACCAGTAAAGACCTAAATGATGAATGAACAATTCCTACATCCTATCATCTTATCATCACTCAAATAAGGAAAAGAACATAGGAAAATACTTTCAAAACAGAGTGAAAAGATTTTTCTTCTAGTGTATAAAGCACAAAGGTATTAACAAAAATAATCTCATAAATTCCACAATGTCCAGAAATTCCAAAATAAACCCACTGACCCATCCTGGAACGCTCCATAAAAAGTGTATCCTAAAAGTTTCATTATTTTCTTCACGATTGAGAATAACAGAGGCATAACAAAAAATCACCATAAATTAATGTTCCCAAAGGTTTCAGACCAGTTGACTACATTAAAAAACAAAAACCATCAATCTAATCCAAAGTTTGCAAGCATTATCTTTTGGGAACAAAAAAAAACATTATCTATCTTAGAGTCTCTTTGGATATAATTTAGAAGTGTTTTTTAGAGCTTCTCTCCTAGAAAATAAAGAGTTATTTCCAGTAGAAAAGCAATCAAAAACACTTATAAAATTTTGTACCCAAACAAACTCTTCATTATAAATTTAAGAAACTACAAAGCATCCGGATTCAGTTCAGTATCAAATGAAGAGGAGGCACACTTCAGTAAACATAAAAAATAAAAATAAAAAATTACCTTTTTATCAAGAAAAGCACCTAAAGCTTGACAGAGCCCCACTGTAGTAGTAGATTTGCCTTCCCCAAGAGGAGTTGGAGTAATGCCTCCAACCACAACATAATACCCATCTTTTGATCCTTGAAGCTCATCAAGAACCGACAACAAAACCTAGGCATTCAAATCCCTCGTCAGCCAAGCTACAAAAACTAAGATAATCACACCTATGCATTCACCCAAAATTACCCACAAGTTGTCACAAAAAGACTAGTTGCATGCAACTGAAATCTAACATACAAAAAACCATTTTTTCTCACATACCCACCATAAATAAACTAATAACATCATGTTCTTGTAACAAAAATCTGATCTTTCTCGAGTAAAAGGGACAACAAAGAAACCCAAAAGATTAACTACCTTGGCCTTGTATTTACCATAAAGGTCATAGTGAATGGAACTAAGATTGAGGTCTTTGGCAATCTGGGAGATGTGAATAGGTTCAACGGAGTTTGCAATGTCTATGTCCGCAGGAACAGGGGACACAACAGGTAGCCTCCTCAGTGGAGTTAAGGTGGTCATTGGATTCAGTTTTGGGGAGAAACAAGGATTTGGAATCTGAAAGAGAAGAGCGCACGTTGATTTTTGTACGTTGATTATTGTTTCTTGAATCTTATCCCTCTCTATTGTATTTATTCTCTATTGTATTTATTTGTTGTTTATTCGCTCACTCTCAGTCATCCTCTGACACAGACAAATAGGCATATGAATCGAGAAATTCCTTCGCAGTAATTACTAACATCCATGACACAGTAGTATAATTTACATTCTTTCCGTCTACCTTTAAAAATTCTCAGAAGTGCTAGCTTTATTAATATTCTCCTTTTAATACTCTTTGCCATTAACATCATTATTTTTAAGAAGAAAATTCAGATACAGTTTATATATTGAACTGGTTTTCAATTGAAGTTTTTCCTAAAAATATGTATTTATATTTAATGTAATGGTATAAAAAAACTTTTATATTAATGCTTTCATAAAATAAAAAAAAAGTAGTACGTAATCAACTAATCATTAAATTCATTTATATTTTTGTAAATTATAATTATGATAGAAAAATAACACTAACGATACTCGTTAAGGCATAACTGTGTTTTGTTCTATTTTTAATCAATATTTTTTTATATATTAATTTTCAATCACTACTCCTAAGCAATTCATTAATATTGAATAGTATTTTAATAGTAAAATAGAGTAATTATATTTATTCTCCTAGTCCATAATTGATTTTTTTTATATAATTTTTTATGTTTTACATCTTTTAAGTAATTCTTACTTAGTCCCCTCATTTCTGAATATAAATAAATAAAAAAATCATTCATGCTAATTAAAAAAGTTATTTACATCATTTAATTTTTTAATTACATCTGAAAAATAACTTATTTTCTTATTTTATCATTCTTTAGAATTTTATATAAGAATAAAAAAAACATTAGAAATGTAACTTTAATTAAATAAAAGGGTATTTTAGAAACAGAGTGAGATTAATATAAATTTGTTTATATTTGAGATAATAATAAAAATATGATATTTTTTCTGTTTATATTCAAAATCGAAGGAGTAATCTTTTTGACATATAGCCCCCTACTTAAACATTGTTATTATTGCTATTCTATAATTGTTTTTGTTAAAGTTATTCAATAAAAAAATATTTTAAAATCAACATAGTATTTCTTAAAGTATTGTTATTTATTACTATTTTATAATTAGTTTTATTATAAATATTTTAAATTAAATAAACTAGTATTAAATATTTATTAAAAAATGTATAATTTCAAAATTATGGTACGGAAGAAATCCTTGTTACTCCATCCTTTTTATATTATTTTCTTTTGCGAAGATTAAGAAGTTCTTATATTTAGAAATTCACGCTCATAAAACTATAGATAATTAATTAAATAAATAAATTCAATTATTTAGATGAGGCGCCTTCGGCTTTGAGTATGACCCGTTGTTAGCACTTAGCACGGGTGAGTCATATGCGCACTTCATTTCTTTTTGTTTGTTTTTTCTCCCTTTCTCTTTAATCTTTATAATAAAAAAATGCCTCACCTAGGATTTACAAAGTGATATAGATAAAATATTGAACTTAAAAAATGCTATAAAAACAGCCATAAAGTAAAAATAAAAAAATGCTTCTTTTACGTTCTTATTATACAGTTTATTTCTATACCTATTTTTACGGTAAAAGAAGAAAATTCTTAGGCTCTGTTATTTTCATTCTTTTAGGTGTGGAACAAGTGGTTTGGAAGAGAGACATAAAATTAGAGTGAAAAGAAGGGTGTGCGTTCGAATTTCCACACTAACAACTAACAATTAATGTTTGTTGATAAAAAAAAAAAAAATATATATATATATATATATATATATAAAATAAAAAAACCCAGAGTAAACAGCAAAATAGGTTATCATGACATGCTGTTTAGTTCTTTAAACCAAAAAAAAAAATCCTAAAAAACTCTAACCGACATGTTAGTTTTTAAACATCTTTAAGGATTTCATACCTTAGTTGCATGAACATTTACAAATTTACCCGGTAGCTAAATAGGAACCTGAATAGCTACTCTCTTGCTGGAAGTATTTACTCAATGTTACATTCTACATGGGATTTTGTAAGTCAATTCGATCGGCATGAATAGGACAACTGTAGCATCTAATAATGGACCTTTTTTCATACACAACCATAAAAATCTATTAGGTGGATAACCAAGCCGATGGTTAAAGTTCTCTAATGCAGCCAGACCAAAAATATAAGCAAAGAATACTCTGTATGTTCTGTGCTAGAAGTTGATTACCAGTGCAGTCACTGGCTTTGTTAACCGGTGAAGAACATCCAAATCATTGTGCCAAAAAGCAGCATTGTCAAGCCTCAGTTTTACTCAAATTTACGGCTGAAAAGGTGAATAACCACAACAGAATATTAGTATTCTAGAACACCAGTGACTTTATGAAGCAGCATGGCAAAGAAAATTTACCTTCTAAGAGTTCGGAAGTAGCCGTCCATTGTACATTTTATCAAGCAGTTTCCGTGCATCAGGTCTCCTTAGGAGACCTTTATTATTTGGTAAACCAGTTCCTAAACAAACAGGGCAGACAAGCTTTCCTCGACCTGTAGTTTATAAATACTATATTATTGACCAACCATACAAGTGTATTGCATATGGCAATACTAAAAAAACAATGCTCTGCTTGGATAAGGTAAAGAGGGGGTGGGGAAGGGATGAAAAAAGTGACCTAACCTTTGTAGGAAAGATTTTCAAGGAGAAGTGCATTTCCTCTACTTTAACTAAAAAAAAATGGGATAACAATTCCCTTCATTTGCTTATTTTGAACATCCAAAATATTATTGAAAGACTCAATTATATATACAACATAAATAAGAAAAGGGATTGAGAGAGGGGGATCTTATCTATCCTTTTGGAAAGGTTTGGACAAGTAGAGAGGGAGGAGAGGTCAAGGTCTCTCAAATACCAATGAGCATTAGTCCCAAGAGAATTGCACATCACAGAGATAAGTCCTTGAGGGTGGTATGAGGTCATACATCTCGAACCTTTGGTTCTTGATCATGTTTCCAAGTTGGTTCATGGTTCATGATTTCGGTCTACACCAACAATTTATATACAACAGACCTTATTTATCTAATTATCTCATCCTCAACTAACTAATTCTCTAAATGGCTAGCTAACCTACTAATAAGGGCTACCTAACAGAAAAGCATGTCAACAAAGGCCATTCAGAACAGCAACTTCAAACGAAAGCATGCCATTATTACCACCTCTTATAACTAACAAAAATGGAGTCGAGTAGAAACTAAACTTCTTACCATAACAATTTGGACATTCTGTAAATTCATAAACATCTTTAGCTCGCTTCCTGTTTAGAGCTTTCCATTTTCCTGTACCACCACACATATCACCTAAACGAAAAGTAAATATCATATGTATCAAAGGATGTAAGAAACATCCACTTGTCTGATATTGATAAAATTACACAACATATGGCATCAGGAATAATATGGAGACAATCTTAACTGACCCAACAATCAATCACATCATATATGGCAACTTGGTTCAATAATTCAATTAGGTATTATTTAAATTGCGTGTAATGTCTAATTACCAAAGTTTTGAAGCAAGACACACTAGCAAAGCCCTTTAAAGATCAAATTGTCTCAGTATTTTGATTTGCTTATGGTCATGGAAATCCTCCTCAGCCTCTTAAAGAAACAAAGTTCAACCAAGATTTAAAATTGTGGAAATTTTTTATTTCTCTTCTCAAAAGAGTAACGTGAAAACCATTGATTGAGCTTATAAAATGGATAGTTGCTGTTATGGAAATTGTCTCCTGTTTGTAAATCTAGGTAATGCAATTAAGAGTCAAGCACAGAGAAAGCAATTTTATCACAACTTACAAAGCACAGCACCACTTCCCAAACAATTTCTGCACACAGGTTTATCCATCATCCCATCCACAGCACTTGCCTTTGGTACAAAAATAGGCGTGGCGTGTTCACCAATCAAAACTAGAGTTGAACACAAACACGAGAGACAATGACGCCTGGAAACTGTTACTTGGAGTTCCTGCAAGAGAGGACGAACATGTTTCCTGAGCAACTAAACAAGCAAGCTATGAAGCTCTAACACCTCTCTTATTGGAAATATCGCAGGGCTAGACATATTACCGACACCAACACTTGTCAACACTTCAAATTAGGTGTTCAATTGAAAAAGAAATAAAAATAAAAATAAAAATTGTTGGCTTGACCACTTAACCTGACACCGCTATAAACACTTGAATCAAACACCTTCATATAGATAGATATACACTAAAAATCTGTTTGGATACAATTTAAAAGAATTTTTGATAGTTTCTCCACCGAAAATAAAGAGTATTCTTTAGTAAAAAAGCTCTTAAAAGTCATTCTAGACTTTTATCCAAACATTCTCTAAATATTGTTAAAACTTGGTTCAATTACTCTTTTCAATCTTATAGTTTTATTAACTTAACTTTTTAGTCTCTATAATTAAAAATATTTCCTTTTAGTTTCTATATATACCATTTTTGTTTCCTCTTGATTTTTATAGTTTCATAAATTTTATCTTTTAGTCTTTATAAAAATGAACTACAAAGACTAAAATGTAAAGTTTTTAACTATAAGAATAAAAGTTAAAGTTTATGAATTTATAAGGTCAAAAGGATAATTAAACCAACAAAATTCATCTTTCAACTTTTAGATTAGTAAGCTTAAAATTTCGACATTAGTCAAGTGAAAGTGTTGAGTACTAAAGAAATAATTTTGAGATTTATGACACACGCTCACTAATCATTAATCAAATAATACTAGCTATGCTTAACTAATGGCTTAATCTCAACTTTGATATACAGACAATGCAAAACAGATGCAGTAAATAAAGGAGTAATTAGCAAGTTAATATGATTAACAATGAATAATTAAAAAAGCAACGCATGATGATTGTTTCACCTTTGTGTGAACCGGAGCAGTGCCCTCGTTTTGGTGACTCGATTTAACGACATACGCCTTTCCTGAGAAGAACACAATATTCAATCAAAAATCAAATAATAGAAGAAACTTCCATTCAAAAAGCGATTAAATGAATTTTGAATTAACGCGGACAGAGAAGAAAGATGAAACACTGACGTGAGTTTGCAGTGGGAGTTGGAAATGGAAGAAAGCATCGAGGAATAACAGACTCCATGAACTGAAACTTCACTTGCCAGTAATGTTATGTAATTGAATTGAGTGATTACTACAAACTACAAAGGAAGAAAAAGAAACAGATTTGGTTTGGACCAAACCAAATCGATTGGTCAGAATGCCCTCCACGTGCTCCTCTCTCGATATATATATATATCTCATCTAGAATAAACATTCTTAATCTCGGTTTTTTTTTCTCATACTTTCTTATTTAATTAATTTTCTAATTTCCTAAATTATTAATTAATTTGATAGATTAAAAGTGTGGTTTTTTTTTTCTGATATATATGTATGTATGTATATATTAAATATCATAATTCACTTTCATGTATTTTACATTTTAATATAACTTGCTAATTTTTATTGTAAAAATATTGGCAAATTTCTAGAGACTATTTTTCTAGCTTATATTGAAAGAAATTTATTAAAACTCATAAATGATAAATTTTATTGAGTTTTAATATTAAATTGAAAAAGATATTTATTAAACAAGATGTAAGACTTATTAAAGTTTATAACTTTCAATAATTTTCGTTAATAATAAAGAGTTTTGAAGAAAATTTTGATAATTACTATAAAATTGATCTAATAATGAAGATTGAGATAATATGTGTGTGTGGTTTTAGGTTCAAATTTTTTTTATTATTATAATTCTTATAAATAAATAAAAATATCTAACATAGCGAGTGTCAACACGAGACGGGGAGAGAGATGATTAAATTTGTAATAATTATTAATTACTCTCTCCATCCAAAGTTTTTAATCTTTTTCTTTTTTATATGTGGCAATCGAAGTTGGTACCAACCAATTATCATGAGATTTACAATAATCACAAACTTTATTCAACAAACTGAGTTATATTTATGCATATCAATTAAAAATATGATAAATATAAATTTAAATTAAAAATACTTTATTTAATATCTTATTATCCCATTTTTGTAATAAAAAAAAGTCATCAATTAGTAGAGGAAATATCTTGTAAATATGTGTATAACCGAGAAAAATATTAATTACACCTTGAAATTCTAAAATGTGAATTGTTTTAGAATAAAAATGAAGGTTAAAAAGACTAAACATTTGGGATGGAAGTTCTATTTTATTTAAAACATATAGATTTATAAAAAAAATGTTATATATTTAATTAACATTTATTAAATGCAATGAATCTATCATGTTTGATAAATAGAAAAAGAATAACAATATGATTGATGATAATCAATCATTATCTTTAATAAATATTATAAAAAAAATATTTATATCTAAAAATATTATTTTCTAAAGAAGGAACGGTAATAAAAAAAAAATTAACATATATGTGTGTGTTTAATAAATATAATAATTAATATAATTATATAATGCATTTAATAAATATAATAGTTATCATAAAAAATAAAATTGGTTACACATTTAATAAAGAATATTGATTTTACAAAATTAATCTTATAATTTATCTTCTTTATTAAAAATGATACAACATAAAACTCATTTTGTACATCATAATATTAGAAGTATAAATGAAAAAAAGGTAATTAATACACGATTGAAAAATTAATATGACACTTATTTTAAAACTTACTTTTTTTTTCTAATGTGACAATTATTATTTGATATTTGATTCTTCTAAAAAAGAGGAGGTATACTTTAAAAGATTAAGTATACTAACAATTGTTGATTATAAGATCAACGATTATAATTTATGAAAAAAATAAACTCTTACGAAATAAAATTTAAAATTAATTATAATATTAATAATTAATTTTTAGCTAATAGTTATAATACATTTTATTATCTAAAATGCAACTATCTAGATCCTGTTATGGGATCGAGGGAATAGCATATTTAAATTTTCAATATGTTTTTAGTACTTTCAAGACAAATAAGTTTTAATTTTAGTTGATTTAAAAAAAAAAATTCAATTAAAAAATTTGAAACTATTACTTGTAATTCTTACCATTTATCATTTTTAATTACTTATGTTTATGTGTTTATTAAGACATTAAGTGAACATTTTAAATACATTTTACAAAGTGATTTAGTACTTATATTTCTTAACTAATAATTGGAATTCAATTTCTATTATATGAAATTATAACCAAAAGTATCACTTTATTTTCATAGTGATCAATTAAGTGTAAATGAGTTAGACTTTCTTGTTAGAAAAAAAAAATCACATGATTAATATAATATACATATTTAAGCAAGTTGAAAATAAGGAACAAGACGAATTCCCTATCCTGCTTTAGTCATTTGGCTCTGTTAGAGTTCAAGTGTGAAGTGAAGTCCCACATTAGTTAGAGTTGGGCATGTTGAGTAATATATAAGTGAGAAAGACCCACCTACCTAATGCCTTAAGGTTTTAGGTTATGTTGTGGTGTCAAGCTCACTTGTATGACTTACTTACTACCCATTGTGTGGAATGCTCCCTAGTGTTCTAAACTCCCCAACATTGGTATATAAAATTAATGAAAATAAATTCAGTCTTAAAACATACATAGTTTGTCATAGTTGTGTTGTCATTTTATTTCCTAGGGTTTAAATTTGCGGGGGCGGGGGCGGGGAACGTAAAACCCGCCCCCGCCCCGCCCTGTTGCCATGCCTATACAAAAGGAGGCAAAGGGAGGGAAATGAGCCTGCTGAAAAGGGCTTAAAAGTGTATGAGAGGAGGTACAAAATGTGACACAAGAGGGAGTGAGTGGGGGAGGGGCACACGTGGAGGGAATGATGGAAGGAGAGGGAGAATAACAGAATGGAAATAGGTGGCAGAAAGGGAGTGGAGGGGTGGATGTGAGAATCAGAGGAATATATTAAGGGCATAATAGAGTGGGGATGGCATTGGAGAACCATCAAGAGTCATTGGAAAGTCATTGAGAGTAGTAGTTGTTTCTTCTCCCAGGGCAGGATGCTTTTCTTCACATTCTCTGCCATTTTTTAAGGAGCATTGCTCCAAACATAGCCACATTTTTCTTTCTTTGCAGACCTTTCTCTGTACCTGTCTTTTCTCTCTGATTTATAGAGTTCATTAATACAGATTGCTATATTTTCTTCATTCGAGTATTTTGGTCTAATTACTGGATTCTTATTTGCAGCTTTTTTGAACACTTGTTATTCAGCTTTCCTAAGTAGTATATTACTATATGCATATTTTCAGTTTCTAACGTAACATATCTCGTGGATATGGGTTTATATTGCAGGTTGCCAACCATACAGCAAGAAGTGCAGCAGCGTAAATTACTATATATGGGTCTATATCTTCTAATATGGGGTGAAGCTGCTAACCTAAGATTCATGCCAGAATGTCTTTGCTATATCTATCACCATGTGAGCTTTGTAACTTAAACAAATCTGTGATTGTTTATTTGCTATTTCTGGACTGTATTTATAAAGATGTGTAAATACAAAATGGAATTAGTTCCACCATGTTCTAGATTTTGTAGATGTTTTAGATATATTTGGGTAAGAAATTGAAAATGGAGTTGCTATTGGGTATGCAAATGCATTGCCAAATAAAAATTTGTTAACAAATTTGCAAGTGTTTATGTGGCTTCCGTTGCATGTATCTCTGCATATTTTGCCTTTTTATCTACCTTAGAATATAGTTTCAAATTGATTTTCATAACTTTTTCAATCACATAATCCCTGTTATCACCTTTTCTATCTTTTCCTTCAATCTTTTTGTACCCTTTTATTCCAATTATTTTAGTTAGAACAGTTTGAAGAATGCAGATGTCTATATCTGTAATTTTATCAAGGCTCAAGCACTTTCAATTTTTCCAATTACAAATTCCTCATTTTAGGCCAAAACAATTTTTTATCCCTTGCTAAATTGCTTTGCAAAAACTTTATATCAAGATTCAATTCTTGTAGTGAGGTATTCAGGGAACTAGTAAATTTATGTTTTTAACTTGGAAAAAAGAAAAGTTGAAAAGAGCTTGCATTTCTTGGTGCTAACAAACTAAGCAAGTTGAAAATAAGGAACAAGACGAATTCCCTATCCTGCTTTAGTCATTTGGCTCTGTTAGAGTTCAAGTGTGAAGTGAAGTCCCACATTAGTTAGAGTTGGGCATGTTGAGTAATATATAAGTGAGAAAGACCCACCTACCTAATGCCTTAAGGTTTTAGGTTATGTTGTGGTGTCAAGCTCACTTGTATGACTTACTTACTACCCATTGTGTGGAATGCTCCCTAGTGTTCTAAACTCCCCAACATTGGTATATAAAATTAATGAAAATAAATTCAGTCTTAAAACATACATAGTTTGTCATAGTTAAAAAGTCCTTTAAAATCCTAATCCAATACATCCCCCTTAGTCTTCATCATTTTTTTCACACAATATCTGCCAATTTATGAAATTTTAATGCAGATTTAATTCACCTTTAAAAGAATCACCTCTATTGTTCATGAGATATATTTTTGAAAAAGTCAATCTTAATTTCTAACAAAGTATGCACCTGTTATTATTTTTTAAAACAACCAAATTTCACAGTTTTTTAATTAAATAAATCATTTCTTTCCTTTGTTTACTGTAATTCCTATATGTAAATTTAATTTTTTAAGTAATATATATTTATGTATATTATTTAAAATGATTTGACTTTGTAAAATATTAAATTAAGTTAAAAATAAATATACTTTTACTTTCTCAATCAGCAGAATCTGAACGTGTCTATGAATTATCTCCTTAACAACGAATCAAACATTTTAAAAGATAATTAATAGTTAAGATGACCACTTAAAAAATTATATATTTTTCTTTTAATTTTGATCATTCAAAAAAAAAAGTAGTGAAAAAAAAAATTTCTTACATGTATATATAAGCAACATCTGTCCCTCTTGAAAAATTAAGTTCTTCGATGACACAGCTTCCTCCCATCATTTCAACAAAATTATACCATAAAGAATTTCAAGTATTCTCCAATTAAAAAATCCTTATAATTTTTTTGTTTGTTTTTTTATTCTGCTTGAATACTAAGATGACAAGTTTTGCCAATGACATACTTCCTGTGCAAGATCCTTTTTACCATCCGAGGATCAGTGCGTGACCAAATAGAACAATAAGAAATTAAGAACTACAAATGTAAACAGGCAACATTTTATTCTACGGCCACAGTCGACCTAATAACATAGGAAGAGGATACTCCCCAGTTACCAACATTAGTTACCATACCACCATCATGCCAGCATGCCAAATGTACAATAGCATGAACCAACATGAACACTAAAATTGAAACCTTAAAATTGACAAAAACCACAGTTAAGAACTGTGTGAGCAAGCAAGTAAGCACTGCAACGTAATCCTACCTCAAATCTCCACTGCATCTCATCTCAACTTCTAAATTATCATAACAAAATCTCTCTGTGTGCGCTAAAAATTAGTGCCAGCTAACTTCTCTCACTCTTACTATCTACTAGAGAAGCTCATAAACCCCCCTTGGATGACTTCTCTTCTGAACCCAAATAGCTTGTTTCAGCCCCCACTCCTATAACAGGCAATGCATCCATATCAAAACCTCTCTCTGCAGTTTTGTTATAATCTTCATAGTCACTTCCACCAGAACTGCTCTCTTCTGGAGTTTGAGGAGAATCTCCCTCAGCTTCATCCATTTTCATGTCAACATCCATCATATCTGTATCTGGTTCAGGAAGTCTTTGTTGAAGCGGCACAGCATCACTTATAACTTGGCCCATCCTCTGTCTCTCCCGATAATCTTCCATTTCTGCTCTGTACCTCTCCTTATCCTTCATGGCCTTCTCTTGATAAACCTTTAGGTCAGTCAAACTTAACACGTTAGTATAATACTATAGAAGATACAAGAACCAAAAGATGCATAGTCACATGAGAAGTAAATAAAAGGGAAAAATGAATTGCCAGAATGAAAGCGCGTTAAACAAACCCCTTACCGTTTTTTCCGATTCCTTTAACTTGTTCCAGAGTTCACCAATCATCCTACTAATCTCTCTATCCTTCCCATGGTGAACTAGTTTTAGTCTTGCATGTTGTTCAGCAAAGAAGAAATTGTAACCACTTCTGTTTGGTTTTGGATGAGCAGGATCCCTCCTCTTTATTTCTGATTTCTTCCTGCGTCGCCGACGATGGACACCCGATGAAGCAGAAGCATTGTTGGTATTAGCTGAGGCACTGTGATGGGATGCTGGCAAACCAGGGGTCTGTGGAGCTTGATAAAGTACACCTTTGAGTTTCTCCGAACCGATTGTGACAGTAACTAGATACCCACTTTCAAATTTCCCATCAATGACCCCAATGACTGGAGACCCTGCCGAAGATGCTGCCATTGCTGAGACAACAAAAGCATAAACAGTATTACTCGTCAAATAATTGAACAGTCATGAGAGGTAGTCAAAAACACCATGCAAAAAGACAAGTCCAACTTCTAGTCTTCTTGTAAAGATAAAGTGGTTTAACAGGGAAAAACAGATACACGAGAGTTTACTAGAGAGCAATTTTGCAAATGATATTTCGTACAAATTAACATTAAAGCCAAAATCAATACAAGCTCCATCAATCAAATGCAAGCTTATTATGTCACATAACACCAAAAATCATCATATCCTTGATCCTTCAAATGATAAAATTGATAGAAAACAAAATTGAGTATGCACAAAATGTGTAATTCCGAAAAAGTAACAATACAGATTTGGAAGGCCACTTATATTTGATACAATGCTCGTTTCGATTAAGTCATGGAACATAAATTCTGAAAGGAAGATAAAACACTAGACCTACTTCTCGGTTCTGATTAACCATACAGTGGCACTGATTAATCAATATAACTTCATTTTATTCCATTCCATTATTTTCCATCAATCTAAATATATCCTAGAAGCGTATTAGAAGCTAAAATTCACCATATTTTGAGTCAATAAAAAGAAAGAGAAAAGACCTTCAGGCAATTTAGCAGCATTAACATTTGAGTGTTGAAACGCAACTGGTTGAATTTCTGACAAAGGCTGCGGAAACTGCATTTTTGGAGGAGGAACTGGCAGGGTTGATTGATTCTGCAAAACATCTGTCAAAGAGAAATGGACATTTTGCATATTAACATGGGCCCCATCCCTAACATTAGTTCAAACCAGCAATGTGGTTTAAATGAAAATACCAGGAGCAGTAGGGTCCCATTCACGGGCTTTAAAATAGTAGATCTGTTCGTAATGGTAAAGCAATGAAGCATAGTACTTCCGCAACACAAAAGACGCATTTGTAGCTGTTGATGGAAAATTGAAAACTGAAGTTACATCTTTCCATTTCCTCTCTCTAATTATCTGCAAGACAGATTTACCAGATATTTTAACTTTTAGCACTACAACCAAATAAAACAAAAAGTTATTATTCAAAAGAAACGTGAAAATGATTATCAGTTTTCTACCAGAATATCATAAAAAAAATTATAAAAGACATGTAACATAATATTGGCTTGAAAAGTATCCATACTGGATAACTACCTATAAATTTGTAGTAAAAAGCTCCTTCAGTTATCTGAAGACACAAAGTTCAGCAGAGTGACAATGAACACCGGAAAATATTAATTGATTTAATACAAATTCAACTGCTTGTGATCAATTCTGATGGCATAACCTCCCAACTAGTATTTCTTAAACACCAACCCACTTTATTGTTGAAAACGTTAATCACAATTGGTTGAGAACTTGGGTTCAGCTATAAAAAAAATATGATGCTTCTTCAATAATAAATTAAGATCTCACACAAACTTATGTTTCTTAACTAGTATTTCCAAAACAACAACCCACTTTATTGTTGAAAATATTAACCACAACTGGTTGAGGACTTGGGCTCAGCGATAAAAAGAATATAGTGCTTCTTAAATAATAAATTATGTTCAAACACAAACTTATGTTTATCACTCAATAAAATTAGTGGAAACATTTATGCAAAACCTCTTTGTCCTCTGACTAAAATAAATACAATTGGCAACCACCAAAATTGTCTTATTCCAGTTCACCAATCACAGGCATTGGACATGCACAGCAATTTTAAGACGTAAAAAGCAGACCAGCATAATGGGAATTACAATCACGTCTTACTTTGGCAATCCCTCCTCGGGATGTCACTTCAATGAAGAGGCGATGTAAATCTAGTTCTCTTCCTCCAACAATAGGAATCCTGCAACAAAATTTCAAAATGCCACAAAAGTAATTAAAAATGGTGTTGAGGGGAGGGGGCCATGCTTTTGAATTTAAAGTTATGCAATTAAAAGGCATTAATTAGTAGGGCACAGTACTGGCAAAAACTACAAAAAATATAAGCTGAGGCCCCACTGCAGACATTGTAGCATCAGAATTATTTTAAATTCATTGGCAAAGCCAAATAATGGCGCTAACATTACTACTTACTAGGTAGAACCATAAAATATCATCAGATATATATCAGTCTCAAAATCAATACGGAGAACTAAGAGACCACAATTCCAGGAATTTAAAATGACAAGATTGTACGTTCCATATTTTTAGACAGAACCAAGTACAAGCTCTATGAACACTTAAGCGAATTAAAAAAAAAAAAAAAACTTATATAAGTAACAGCCAAATGAAATCCAGGGGAACTTACATGAACTTGGTACCCATAGATGCATGAAGCTTTTCCAAGGTAAACATGAAAAGCTGGGAATTGTCTATAACCTCCTCATATTTTGCTAGAGGAAGGGGATATGCATGATAGCTCGAAGCTGCATCTTTCATGGGTAATGAGGTGTTACCAACGCAAGAAGTTGAAGCCATTAACAACTTGGTAATTTCAGACTTTAGTATTTTCCTGTCCCACCATCAACAACACAACAAGATTAACACAAGGTGGCACAGCGGAAGGGGGAGGGGATTCAAAAATGAAGGAACCAACTGGAGAACAAAAATAAAAACAGTAAGTTGAAAATCACCCAGCATTTACATATATGAAAAACAAAAACATTAATGAGAAATGAAATGGTCACTTACATGCAGACAACAAATAAAAGAAAGGAGACAAAAAAAATGTAAAGATACAGACAAGTTCACTGGATAAGATTATGAGAAGAAAGAACCTGTCCCATGAAAAAGAAAAAAAAAAAGAAACAAAAAAGAGAGAAGAGCCAATAAAATCACCGTGCAGCAGCAGTTTCAGGACTGAAACAACCCACAACCCTGATAGGAGGATACACAGGCTCAAGGGGTGGTGGTGAAATAACTTGCAGTACGAAGGAAGATACAAAACCCAAGAAAAGGGTATTATGGTACAAAAAAGCTGTGACACAGCCATGAATTCCTCCAGATTACCGAGGATGTAACAGCATGAACCCATCAAAGCTCAGGACTCTGGCCTTTGAAACAACAGTGGCTAACCAAGAAAAGCCTTTTTAGACTATGGTAATAAAGACGCACCACAAAGTCCCTTTCTAGACTCTCCCAAACCACAGGCACTGTTCACAGACCTACGTAGCCTATAACTGAACCCTGTCATCGGTAGGATAGGATGGTATGTATATCTTAACATAAAGGCTACCAAACCATTGTTTACATAAATGTGCATATGCATAAAGCAAGTCATTACTTTAATTGATCTTTCTCTATAATCTGACACTGTTTCAGGGTAAAAAAGATTTGTGGGGTTGGTGTCATGATGCCAATCCATCATCCAATACTAAATATCAAAAACTTCACCTTTTTTCTCCTAAAGAAAATTCAAATCGGATTTCTTGTCCTTGTTGCAATCTCTAATGAAGGTCGATAAAGAAAAGAAAATTTTGATATTATACAAAGAAAAGATTATATCACTTATCCATCACAATAAAAATGTGCACCTGTAGGTTTCTTTATTTCTCTGTGCAACTTGCTTGGAATTATATTTCATTAAAAAAAATTGGAAGGAAAATAAATAAATAAGAGAATATATAACGCTAGCATACATAAAGAGAATATGACAAGATGCAAATCCAGAGGCAGAGAAGCAGAAATGTCAAACAACAGTTTTTGTTTATATAAAAAAGAATAAGACAAAATAATAATATAATATATGTTAGGGTTAATTTACCAACGGTAACAGAGTGTGGAATATCATTCATCATCTCCTCATCATGCAAATGAAACGACAGTAAGGAAGAAGCTTTTAAAGATAATAATGGCACTGTTATTTAAATATAAGTTCGGGTGCGAATTGATTGAATGGTGAAGAAGAAAAAATAATAACCCTAAAAATATTATACCCACCAATCAAAAGACCCTTTTGTCCTCTGTAACTTGTCAATTCATCCACCCTAGAACAAGGGTGATTCTGGATTTGTCCAGTAAATTTTGCATCTCTGAATATAATCAAATTAATTTTGGATGAAAATAAAAATTAGTCTTTTATAGGATTCTTGAAAGGAAAATGAAATGAGCCTCCACCGCACCCTTTCGTAACAACTTGAGAAATTCCTAATGAAACGCTCGCCACATAAAATATTTTCTATATTTTCATTAAAAAAATATCCTTAGTTTTGAACAAATAGCATATTTTTCTTGATGAATATGATAATTATAAAATAGTCTGTTTTATATATTCTAACAAAATAATTTAACTTTTATTTCATATATGACTTTTAAAATTATTATTATGATCTAAATAAAAATAGTGAATTTAAATATACTGGTTAAGTTTATTCTATAAAAGTATTACTTATTATAATTTTTTTATAGATTTTTTTTTTACTTTTTTTTAAAATATAATTTATTAATTTATTTAAAAAATAATTTTATATTGACAGTGCTAAATAAATTTAAATTTTTTATTTTAAAATAAATGAGTAAATCTATTTTTAAATATACATACGAGAGTTTTATTAATTTACTTAATAAAAATAATTTATTTTATTATTATTAAAATCTCTAGTTTAAAAAAAATAATATAAAAAATACAATTTACTCATCTACATTCACGCACATATCATAATGAAATAAGATAATCTTAAAATATAATCTTAAATATTTTTTTTATCTCATTTAAAATATTTTAAATAATCAAGCATAAATATGAATAGAGAGATATGATGTTAGACTTTTATTTTTAATTTCTTGATTTATACAAATAGTTAATGTAAAATATTTAAATGTAATATAAATGTCAAAATTAATGATAATTTAATTTTTATATTATAAATTTATTTATTTGATTATATTATTGAAAATATAATATATGTATATATATATATATAACTTTTTATTATATCATATAAATAAACAGATTAGTCTAACAATTTTTTTTAATAAATTTGAGTCTAATCTTCTTAAATAAATAGATATTTTTAAAATTTAATTTTTTTATTAAATAGATTAAATCAAACAAATTGCTAAACTATGGACACTAATTTAAAATCCGATTTATTTTTATCCCTTGACCCAACCAAGTATGGTCCATGTTGTGGTTCTTAGAAATCGAATTCTTCATATAGGTGTGTGGTTTCTCAAGTGCTTCAAGTCTTCAATAAGGTGATTTAGTACTTGTAAGAACTCAAACGAGAGAATTTGATAGTGACAATACTTAGTTTATTAGATTGTCTACCTTATTATTGAGAAAAGGTAACTATTGTGAAAAAAGAAAAATTATAGAATGGATCTGGTGGTGTGCTACAAGAGTTGAAAACAACCTCCTCCAGCTGAGTTACTCCGTTTAGGTTTCCCTCCTTAATATTATCACTTTACGTGTACTTTTGATGTTAATAACCTATAAAATTATGATATTATATTTTTTAATATTATTTTATATTATTTAATTATCATTTATTTTATTAATAATAATTTGATCACAATTCAACTACTAAATTTTGAACTAATATCTTGACCAATCTAATTTTAAAAATATTAATTTATACTATAAAAAGTATAATTATAAAAATTAAATTGATGGATATCAATAATTGAATTTGATAAAAGGAGGTTATTCATTTATAAAGTATCAAACCGTTTATCCAAATTTGGTTAAAAGATTTTATCACATTTTCAATTATATTTAATTTTGATCATCACGTCAACCAGATTAACTATAATAAAAGATAATAGTAAAAGTATTTTTAAAAAATGAAAAAATAGATAAAAAAACTTTGAGCATTTTTTATAAATTTAAAATCATTTTATAAATTTTAGGGTGTCAATGCAGGTACACTTTTTTTTTTAAGTATCAGAAAAACTAAACCTAAATAAAAATATATATAAAAAAATACTATATGTATAATTTTTTTGTTAAAAGTGTAACAAATAATGATGGTAAGTAGTGTTAGAAATTTCTAGCACTCACTTAAAAGTTGTCTAACTTATTCCAAATAAATAAACATGGAGTTAAAGAGTTTTATTATAAATGATTGTTGTGAACGCTGTAATCTCTCATAAAGAGAATATTGTTAATCATTTGTGATGAAAGTATTTAAAGCTAGTTTTATTTTAGATAAGTTAGACAACCATCTTTTATTTATTAAAATTTATCAAAAACTACATAACAAACTACAAGAGTTAGTTTAATAATAATACTATGGTAAAAGTTTGGATAGCATACATAGAATTCTAATTTTCAACAATATATACTCCTTTGGTTATAAAAATAACAAAAAAAAATAATTCAAGTTAACTAAAAAATAATTAACATCATTTTATTTCACAAATATCATTTTAAAAATAACACATTTTTTTTCTGAAATCTCAATAAAACAAGGGATTTTTTTAGATAATGTCAATAAATAAATAAAATTCATTAATATTTATTTTTATTTGAGACCAAACATACATAACTTTTCTGTTTATATTTAAGATCAGAGGAAGTACATGCAACGTTAGTAAATTAAATTTTCAACCCTTTTTTTATTATTTATTTTATATAAAATAACATTACTTAACTTATATGATATATAAAATATTTAATGGACAGAATAACACTGATTTTTTTTTATCCGTTAAAATTATAACAGAGCTAATATGTTTCAAACTTAAAAATTAATGGCTAGCATATATAAAAAATAAATAATAATAATAATATTTATTAAATTTTGTTATATTAAAATATAACTTATGAATAAAAATAACAATTAAAAATTAAGAATATTAAATACATACTTAAATATAAAAATATTCAAAAATATATTTAAGATATTAATTAAATTATTAATTAAAAAATACATTATTCTCTATCAGTATAATTTTATATAAATTTTATTAATATATTTATACTTCAAAATGTGTTTTATAAAGTAATTTTTTTAACAGTAATAAAATAATTTTTAATACATTTAAAAAGATACATTTTAATACAAGTGTGAATACACATACATATATTTTAAAAATAAATTTAAAAGGTTGACTCTTAATTTGAAAAGAATAAAAAAGTTTATATCGATCAAAATCAAAACACTTCCATTTTATAATAATTAAAAACATGTTTAAGTTTATACTAGTATTTTGATTTGTGCAATGTATAGGTTAAATGTTTATGATATATAACTAAATTTTAAAATGAATTATATATATAAATAAATATTATGTTTGAATATATAAATTATATTTAAATTTTAAATAAATAAATATTTATATTGCATTATAAAATTATTTTAATTTACTAATGTTTTATTTTAAAAGTATTAAAATTTAATTCATAAATAATTTTGATAAAAAATGTTGAATTAGATATAAAGTTAAAAGATTACTTAAAAACATGTGGTTAAAGAAAAGTCCATAAAAACATTACTGTTTAAGATAGTCGTTCACGTATTTTAAAAAATATTAAAATTTAAATAATAAATAATTATGATAAATATAAATTAAATTAAATAAAAAAAATTAAAAACTCTAGAAACTCTCTTGACGAGAAAAGTCCATAAAAACGTTATTGTGTAAGATAAAGATTTGTGTTTAATATATATGGGATGATGAGTTGATTTATTTTAAAAATATTAAAATTTAATTCATAAAAAATTATGATAAATTAAAATCAAATTAGATGAGGATTTAAAGAAAATTAAAAAATCTCTCATAAAAAAAACTCTTTAAAATATTATCGCACAACATAAAAATTTGTATTTAATATATTAGAGTTGATGTTATATTTGATAAATAAAAAAAACTTGGATCTTGTGTGTATAAAGATTCTTAAACAAAATTTTATTTGATGAATATTTATCGTATTTATTATAAAATTTCAAATATTTTTATTTAATATATTTATATTTAATGAATGCACTAATTATTTAATACAAGATAAGATAAACTTTTGACTATTTTTTATATTTATATAAATATTACATTAACAACTATTTTATATATAATTAATTTATAAGATGTTATATGAGAGAACACTCATATTTGTAAAATTGCAAATTATGTAGATCATGTTTTATTGATATCACATCAAATTATAGTTTGGACTCGCTGAGCCTGGGAAACACAAAATACTTGCGGCCTCGACTACGTCAGGTGTGGGCTTAGTCTTGTCGGGTGTAAAAGCTTGAAATACTTGTGACTTTAATTGACACTAGGCATAAGCATTGTCACACCAGATATAAGAACTTTAGAAATCCTTTAAATGTATGTCGCTAAGCATGAGAAGGAGAAACTCACTGACTCGCAAATGTTGGCCTCGTT